TGGGCCTTTACCAAATACTGGGCTACAAATCACGGTCCCAGAACTCAGCCAGACATTGTTACAATGGCCTGGAGCAGGGAAACTCCGAGAAAGGAGGATGAAGTTTGTTTTAATTAGCCTGCAGAAACAGCTTTCTGGGCTTGGCTCAGTCCCTTCAGACCCGGCGGTCACACGCAAACGCACGCCAACTTACCGGGGCGCCAGCTACCGTGGAACCAGGGCTGCTGGCGTTGCTCTCCTCGGGATTCTGGGGGGCTTCTTCCGGCCCCCGAGTCACGAGAATTCTGAAGTGCTGTTGCCCCGCATTTTGATCTTGCCTGATCTTAAACGTGCAGCCCTGCCCCTGTGGCGTCCTTTCCACCGAGTTGGTCCTGTGGATTTCGGGAGCCCCCCTGCGGCCCCGAGGCGGCGTCTCCGGGTGACCCCGCTCTTCCGTGGGGCTCCCGCTCTCTGCGCGGGGCTGTGTGGGGTACGAGGTGCTCCTCTCCAGCCGGATGCGGGGGTACCTCACCAGCCTGTCCCCCTTCGTGCCGGTGAAACCGAAGTTGAAGTCACTGCCTGGCCCCGGAGCGCCCGGTTGCGGCTGTTGCAATTGGAAGACGAAACAGCGCTTCCCGGAGCTTCCAGAAGCATCCGGAACGTGCTGCAGGGACCAGCGCCTGGGCTCCGGCGCCGAAGGGCTGCTCTGGCCGTCGGCCCCGAAGGGCGTCAGCCTCACCTGGCGCACGTCGGCGCTGGAGGCGCGGTGCTGGATCCGCAACCCCCCGCCGCCCTCGGGGCCCCGGGCAGCCCTCGGCTCGGCCTCCTCGCGGCCGTCGCAGGCGGCGGGGCCTGGCGCTCGGCGGCCGCATGTGCCATTGAGCTGCGGGCCCGGAGCCCGGGCCGCCCTTGGGGGCGAGCTCCCGGGGGTCTCGGGTTCCGGGGGCTCAGGGCCACCGGCCCGGGATGCCGGGCCCACGTCGCCGTCCGGACCCTCGGGCGGCGCACCCGCGTCGGGGACCCCGTCGGTCGCTTTGCGCTGCAGGGAGATCTGCACGGACGAGCTGCGGGTGGGCCGCGCGTCGAGCGGGCCCAGGAGCTGCGGGATGAACATGGACGTGCTGCGCTTGAGCGCGCCCACGGCCTCCTGCAGGCCACCGCCGTCCTCCGCGCCCTGTTGGGCGAAGGCGTGAGGGCCGCTCCTCCGCGGCAGCGTGTGGAATGCCATGAAAAAGTCCTCTTCCCTCTCCTGGTCTAGGATCTCGGACTCGGGGGCTGTGTTGCTGCGCCCAGCGCCAAAATGAAACCGAAGCCGATGGGCCATGGTGCCCAGGGGGGCAGGGAGGGAGAGGGCGAGCGGCGACAAGCCCGGCACTGCCAGAAGTCAAAAACCGAAGGCACAAACTCCAAGAAAAAGTGTCCCATCTGCCAAAGCGTTAGCACTGCAGCACCAGGAGCGACAGATAGCAGAAATAACCCAAGTGGCAAGCGGCATTCCAGGCATGATTGGGTAAGAGCAAAAAGCTCTCATCCACACTGTGACAGAGGGTAGGATGGTCAGAACCACATGACCGCGGTCTCCCCCTCCAAGGCCAGCTTGTGCACTTACTGGAGTTTTCCCCCCTCTCGCGCTCTCAGTTTTTTTTTTTTTTTTTTTTTACACAGCAAGAGCCTGAAACAGCACCTTCCCAGCTGCTGCTTTTCCATCAGACAGGAGTGGCCCCAGCAGGGAGCTCTCACAGCTGACTAAGGCAGCAAACACAGTCCAAGCCATGCTGCTATAAATCTAGCCCGCATCAAATTCACGGGACAGTTCTTTCCGAACGAGGCAGGGCACTCGGACTCTCTAACCAATGCCGGAGAGCCGGCATTGAACACATGCGCACACACCGTATTTCCCCCGCCTCCCCTAGCAAACCAAAGAACGACAAGGAAAAATGCTCTGGCTGCAAGAAAACCCTTTCACAAGCATCCGATATTATGTTTCTCTGTTATTTATGATATCACCACACTACCACGACGGAATGCAAACTAATAAAAGGTACTATAAATATGATTCCACACCCCACAGAATGAGTGTCCCTTTAATGCTAAATAATTAGACCATGATCTACAAGTAACAAAATAGCTAAGTGCAGGGAGGCACAACTTACAACAGGGTCAGTTAGCTGTCTGCCTACTACTATATTTTTTCATTTAATAGGGGTGTGTGTGTGTGGATGTGGATCTCACTCATAATACGACTATCAGACATGGAAGTCCCAGAGAAAAGGAGCCCAGCTGGAGAAAACATTCTCTCCTATAAGCCAGACAGGAGAAAAAACCATCACCACACCCACCCCCCCCATCCCCACCAGAAAAGGAAAGATAATTGAGGAAGGGTGTGAATGTGGTTTTCGTAGTGAGTTAACTTAAATACCATACAGAAAGAAGGCTGCCCAGAGCTGACTGTTTTCCAGGGAGAAGTCAGCAATATTATCATAAGCACGGAATCTTACCATTTTTGTGAAGGGCCAAAAAGGACCCGAGTAATAAAGGTCCATGTTCAAAAAACTGTCATCAGATTTGTAGTCAACTTGGATATAGTCTCTGTGTTTCAAGCTTACTGTTTTCCATGATCCAGAAACACATCAGTGATTTAACACAGAAGCTTATTTAGGAGGGAGTAAAAAAATGGGAGGGGAAAATACCAAAAGCTGCAGAGAGTGACAAAACGTTTATTTTAAAATCCACAAAGCATGACTTTGTCAACAGCTCTAGAATTGAGGGTGTGGAGGATTAACCCCATGTTTACATATGTGCAAACCTGTTTTCCAAAGGCATGTGTTTTAAATGCCAAAACTGATCTCTATGAGAGAAATGGAAGCTAGTTCGTTGAAATGCTCAAACTGCCAAGTACCACCATAGTCCTGTATTGTCTTAGCTGGATGAAGAGCCAACAAAGCAACAACCACCACCACCACCACCAGTTTTCAGTGAATGGTTAAAAAACAACAACAACAACAACAACAACAAAACTCCGCAAACAGCCTGGGGCAAAACTAGGTATTAGTATCATAAAACACAATGTTTCAGATAGTGTGTATTCACACATGATTTCTTAGAGCTCTGCATTCAAAGCCCTTTTGGGTTTGGAAGACTAGTTTGGGATCCATGGAGAGGTCATCTCAACAGCAGTCATTTTTTAGTAATAGAAATGGAAACAAAAATTTTTTTTTACAGCAAATTTCTCTCAGTAAAAAGAAAATAATGAATTACAACATGTCTGACAAGAGGCATTTTCCCCTTAAATCTGACCCTCTCCACCTTGGAAACGTGTTGTTATACTCAATAAGTGAGAGAATAAGGATTAGTCTGTATATGTATATCAGTCTTCAGGGACTGACTTCTACTCAACAGTGCCTGATTCAGTATTTGCTGGATAAGAGATGGAGTGCTAAGAACTGCACCATCATCAGAATCTCTCATTCAATTTAACAAGAAAATAACTTCATACACACAGAAGTGATTTAGTTATTTGGTACTACTCATTATCACCTAAGGTATAAAACGTTGAGTTCAACGTGAAGCCACCAAGACCCCGTATATTTTAACAGAAAAGGCGTCAGTACAGTAGGCCATAATCTGTTGGCTTTCCAATTTGGAGAATAATACCAAGCCCAGGAGATTAACTACACTCCTGAGTTCCATAATAAGCATAAAAGTCCTGGCTATTCACCACCACTGGCCTGAGGACTCAGGAGAAGAGCAGATTCCACCGGGTGCTGTGTTTAAATTATGTAAAGGCTCCAGACCTCACCTGTTTCATGTACAAGGACAGAGACTTAAATGAGATGTATTATAAGACTCCTCCAAAACTATTATATTAAGTTTAAGCTACTCAAAAGACTTGGGAGTTTCAGCTTAAATCAGCAGCAAGAAGGGTTTATAAGAACACTCCTTTTTGTTTCCAGATTTTATTTAAATTCTAGTAAGTTAACAGATTGGGTATTAGTTTCAGGTGTAGAATTTAGTGATTCATCACTTACGTAGAACGCCCAGTGCTCATTACATCAAGTGCCCTCCTTAATGCTCATCCGCCATCTAGACCCTCTCCCGCCCACCTCCCCTACAGCAACCCTTAGTTTGTTCTCTATCATTAAGAGTCATTTTATGGTTTGCCTCTTTTTTTTTTTTCTTTCTTAATAAGAATACTCCTTTTAACCAAGAAATATACACAAGTTTCATGAAAAGTAAATCTGGATACAACTAACAACAGAAAACTTGAGAGTTTTAATACCACTTCTGAGAGTTCCTTGAAGGCTTACACATTACATAGTAATATTCACATTCATAGCTGGAACACTTGGTTTGTGGGTACCTGATGAATACACTCTGGTTAGCTGAAATCTTAGTTATATGTATTATATAGACAGATAGATATATAACATGTCCAAATCTTATTTATCAATGTATATATAAAATGTTTCTATGAGTTTTATGCCTCAGGCATATCTTTGGTTCTTTAAAGGTACTTTCCACAAACTTCCCTTGAGAAAGTACCATTTTTAAAATACAGCTTAATTTTGCCTGCTAAATATAGATTGACTTTTTGCTATATACTGTTAATTAGTTTTTTGTTTTCCCAAAGAGAATCACCACAGATTCATGACTGAATGGGCGAAAGGACTGTAGTCTGGCCTATAGTTAAGGTTTGTTTACATGAGCAATGGCTTCTTTAAAGGTTTGCCTACCACTGAGTACTCCCAACATAAGAGCAGAGGCATATGGCTTGATGTATCACTAGTGTGATTTTCACTAATATCGACTATGATGAAAACATACACACATACAAATAAAATTTCTGTCCTATCCATACAAATGTTTGTTAGAATCATAAAACAGTAATAGGCAAAGAGTCTTGGGGGGGGGCATATGTACTGGCAGACGCACAACACAGATAACAGAGTTCTGAAAGATGCTGCTTTAAAATTCAGTTTTTAAAAAATGAAGCAAAAAATCAAGAACTGGGACCCACTTACCAATCTGTTTTCATCAAATACTTCAAACAGGAGTCTGTGATTAGACGGGTTTACCTATAAAGGGCACAAAAACAGTATTTTCAAAAATGGGCAAAAATAACTCGGATAAAATAAGAGACATCGAATGAAATGCTTTATAATGCACCCAGATCATCTGTGTCATCTAAATAATTAACCTGCTACTCTTCTAGAAACCCTGTGTCTATTAAATCACATTTCCTATTATTGATTTCTAGATTATTCTATGCCTAATATTTAGGCATATTAGAAGAATAAGATGCTCTTGGCTGCAAAGAAAATTTTAAATAGTTTTAGAGAGTTTCTAAATCTCCCCTACAAAAGGCATGGAGACCAAGGTGACATCTTCACATAGGTCTGTGCCTGAGGAAATCTCTTAGGTCTATAATTATAATGAGAATAGCAGTGACAAAAATGAAGAGAACAGTAAAAGGAGCTATTGACTATTGTATGCTTATTTTCGGGGCACTATCTCCTTCTTAAATATCAAAAACACATGACCTCATCTAATCCTGACAGCAACCTATGGTGTATAACAACTGTCCTCCTAATTTTGCAAATGGGGGAGCTGAGACTCTGAGGGTGAAGTAACCTGCCCAGGAGCCCGTAAGTAATATGTGGGGCAACTGGGAGGCCCCAACCAGGTCCGACCTGCTTGTCTGCAGAGCCCACACTTTGAAATTAGAGAGAACAAAGAAATCAAAGATGTCCCCATTTCCAGCAACTGTGGGGTCAGAGCTCCTGGGGCTTTCAGTGTCTTTTTGCTTCTTTCTATTTACCAAAACCTCACCAAAATGGCAGGAATCATCATTCAGGCTCAATTATCATTTATTAAGTACCAACCACAGGGGATACCTGGTAGATAAGCTTTCTGATGTACATCATTGCATTAAAACAACCCTATCAAGTGAGGACTTCTCGCTCCTTCGTGAGAGAGAAGGAATCCACAGCGAGTGTCTGTCTTCAGGTGGAGTTCTAAGTCACAAAGGTGGTAAGTGGTAGAGCCAGAGATGAGATTCAGGTCTATTGCCTCACCATGAAAAGTGAAACAAAATGAAGTTTGACAGTAGAGCATGGAGCGAGTCATGGGCTTCTGGCCCCTTGGCCTGCCCTTCGCTTAGTGACAGAGCAAGCGGATGGACGGGGATCTAGCTAGGATCTGTCTGGAAGCTGTGTGAAGGTTGTGCTGACCAATGCATCCACACAGGCCCTGGCAGGAGCAGCACACAGTAAGCACTCAATCGAGATTTGTGGAATGAATAAAACAAAGCCCCCCCCTTTTTTTAAAGTCAAAAAAAAAAAAAAAAACCAGAGTTTACAAACTGCTATAGCCAAGTTGACAAACTCTTGGATCACTAAAATTTACATAAACGTGGCCCAGGTGATAAACTGAGAGGAGTCTAGGTCATTTGGAGTTTTACAAGTGGAAAGCTGTATCTGAGCCTTAACTAAGGGCCAATAACATCTATCTGCCCCCATTAGCTTTTCAGTCCTTCAAGGAGTAATTTAAAATGCATCTGGTAGAGGCTATACATGGGATCCACCAAGTATTGAAATATCATGCCATATTTCAGCTCTGAACATAACAGAAAACAGATATTGTAGATAGTGACCGAAGTTAGGAGCACATAAAATACTATTGTGACTGAAAGGAAGAAATCAGGACCGACGGTAATGGGTCTAATTGTTCTTTGGGAATTGTTTGGGTATTGTTCTTTGGGAATCTACACTAATCTGAAGATCTCAACTGGAGCATTTCTGGAGGTACAGAAGTTTTTAATACCACAGCTACAGAGGCAAAGTATATTCATTTTGAAGAGGGGAAAAAGAAAACTTTCTCTCCAACAGATGAGCAGTTTAGTATTTCCCAAATTTTCGTACAAAAAAATACAGCAACCACCACAAAAACTCCTTCAGTAGTAATCTCCATTAATTCACACAATTGTCATTCCTACATATAAGCTCTTCTAGGTGTTAAACATCCAAGGTTGAGGAAATTTTACCCAATTCAGTGATATTTAAAGTCCAGAAATAGTTTTGTATTACACTTGTACATGCAGACGTGTTTGAATTACAAAACTCTCCCTTCCTAACTAGAACATGACTGGTAAGTTCTAGGCTTCTTTTTAATCATGTTGCCTCTGTTGCTTTATTTTTACCTCTAAAATCATTCATAACCCATGTCTCATAGAAATAATTAAGCTATTGTTTTAATTATATTTTACCTTATTTTTAAAGAAAAATTTGAGTAGAAAAGCTAAAATACGGTACTTGGGTAACTTTTCTTTTTACTTCTCTAAATCACCCCCAAAATGAAATAAGTCCAGATTTTGCTACTACTAGGCAGTCTTTGAAAACTTACGCCACATGAGGTGGCTACCTGGCCATTTCTCAAAAGAATTTCACATAAAAATTTAACAGCTTTTACTCAGTATGAATCTATTGTGATATCAACCTAATTATAACGGTTATTATCAAAAAAATGAAAAACTTACTCTAAAATAAAATTCTTCATTCCACTTTGGGTTCAGCGTCTGGAAGAGAAATTATCTTGTAATATCTTTTACAGTCTTTGAAACATAACAGTTACTAGTACAATGCAGTCCATGTATTTGCTTGAACTTTTTTTTTGTGATTAATAGCTAGGAGATATTCAAAATGGCAATAAAAAGCATTTAGTCAATTATTTGAAACTATTCTATAAACCAGACAGGAAGGGATGTATTTATGAAACAGATAATTCATAGATAAGAAACCATAAACTGCATGCTATCAACCAGAAGGAATAATGTCAGGGACCTACAAAGAGCCATCATCATGAAAAATATGAAGATATTCTTCAAGAAATTCACATTCATATGATTATTTCATCAAGAAGAAAATGAATTCATTTCTCTCGACCTGCCCCAAATCTGTTTCGGAGAGTAAGGAAGCAGGTGGGGAAAGGCGAAAGTATTCACTATTTATATAAATACTGAAATCTAAAGAGTATTTTATAAAGAACAATAATGACGATCAGATTATAGTTCATGAAAAATAAAAACCTGCCAGTTATAAATCCGAAGTGGATTTTTTTTCCCCAAAATAACCGGTGTTTAAAATCTTCACCTCCCTATCCATTCCTCTTCCATCCATCCACCAATCTAAATAGCTATCTCACAAGGACATGGAACAGATACTTTTGTCCTCAGTACGGACAAAAGATGGGCGGCCAAGCAACCTCTGAAACTAAGATGAAACAGATACTGTGCAAGAATACATATATACATGTTAATGCATTTGGACATGCATAATACTCTTAAATACACCCCTCAAAAATCCTACGTACAGACTGAAAAAATCACCAGCTCGCCAAAGGCTACAGGTATTTTTTAGGCTGAACCATATTTGCCTTTCTCAATCGAATTCCTTTAACATACTAGTCCACAAAGAAGCAAAGACGGAACACAAATGCACTCAAAGAAACAACACACCCAGAATTCACACAACACTGAACTGGCATTTCTAAAAAATCAGCACTTTGCCGGCCCACAACTCAAGAGGGAATCCAATCCGAAAAGGATGGGGCTTCATACTTTTGCCTGTGAATGGAGCCGGGGATACAATGAGTGAGGAGAAGGGGGTAAGAGAGAGAGGGGGGAGGAGAAGGGAGAGGTCCCAGGCGGGCAGCAGGAGGGGCAAGGCAGGACCGGGCCTGCCGGGGGCGGACGCGGTCCGGGACGCGGGCTGCCCAGAAAGGCACGCGGCAAGAGGCAAATGACAGGTGAGGACCGACGTGAGCCCGCAGCGCGCACGAAGGAACAGGCGGCCGGCCACGAGGCAGGAGGACGACCGCAGTTCCGAAAGCAAACCGAGCGAGCGCGCGCAGCACCGAAATACTAACCGGGAGGCTGCGAGTGAGGCAGAGCAGGCGCGCTGGGCGGGAGAGGGGGGGGGGGCGGCGGCCCGCAGGAAAAGCCTTGTCGGTATCCCCAGTCTCGGCTCCGTGGGGGATGCTGTGGTTCTCGGCTCCCTCCCGCGTCCGGGCGCCCAGGTCTCCCCCCGGTTCGCCTGCGCTGCAGGGCGCCGGGCCTCCCAGGCGGGGCCCCCGGCTCGCTGCCGGCTGAAGCAGGGACAGCGCCTGCCACCCAGAACAATGGCCTCCGTGCCTTGCGGAGTCCTCCCCACTAATCAAAACACAGGCTCTTGTTTGCAAAACAGATCTTTAATGCCACTCACAAAGCCAGGTGGAGGACGAGCTACATTGGCTGTTCCTTACATAGAATGACCCGGTCAAGGAGCTCAGGTGTCTGCACAATGGCAGTGAGAGTTAGCATTTTTTAAAGCCATTCTGTTCGCCAGGAAATGCTTATCACACAAAGCACTGGACTATCTGTCCCCTAAAGGTGCCAGGAAAATAGTAGTAATTAATAAATAATACTGAAGCACAGATAAAAACAGTACTTTGGATAAAAAACCTACATCTTCAATAAATGCCCCAAATATGGAGTAAATATTTAGATTTGCATACACACATACAGGGAAACATGGTGATAGATGAATTAAAATATAATTATGGAAACATTTTTAATGAAATCATGTAATGATTTAGAAAATAGATACACATAAATGTATAATTTCATTAATATTTTCATTTGTTCTCATGTAACTAAGCAAAATATTTTGCTTCCTTTGGTAATATTTGTTTCAAGTTAAACCATACCTTTTGTGTCTACGAATTGCACAAACCACTCCATTCCATTAAATGTATTTTAAATGTCTTCATGAAAAACAAGCCAACAAGAACGAATCCTTGTCTTACTGTATTCTTTGCAGGGAAAAAGAACTGCTAATTTTAAGAACACTTATTTTAAGAATATTGCTTTTATAATCATTTAACTGGAAGCCAGAATGGATATCCTGTTCAATTTATGGATTTAATACTGGGAGATGTTTAAAATTAAAATACTGCCAAACTTAAAATACAAACTTCTACAGCGCCAAAGTACTTAATTTAATTGGATTAAATTATGACTTACATGAAGTTTAATTAAGGATGGACACCTACCTTTTTAATTGTTTTTGTCTGTACCAAAGCGAGTTCTCTATTCTCATCCGCTACGTACAATGAAAGTTTCACATACGGATCACTGTAAGAAAATATTTCAGATTTAATGAGATTATACTTTTCATTTAAAAAATACAAAAAGACAAAAACCTAAATGAAAATGCAAATACCAGTTAATGCCCCAGTTTATGTAAATTCCACAAACTAAGCAGTAACATTTTCAACATGCCTACTAAGGAAATACACAAGAAAAGTTTCTATCAACCAGAGTCAATGATACTTACATAAAAGCAAAAATCTCTCTCAAAAAAATCTTTTTAAAAGGGGGGGGGCACCTGGGTGGCTCAGTCAGTTGAGCATCCAACTCTTCATTTTGGCTGAGGTCATGATCTTGGTGTCTTGGGACCAAGCTCCATCAGGCTCCCTTCTTGGTGGGGAGTCCGCTTATCTCCCTCTCCCTCTGCCCCTCCCCCTGCTCACCCGTACTCTCTCAAATAAATCTCTAAAAAAAAAAAAAAATAAAAGCAAAAATATCATGAAACATACACTAACTTTATTTTATTTTTTAGTGGGGAGGGACAGAGGGAGAGGGAGAATCTCAAGCAGGTTACATGCCCAGCACAGAGCCCAATAGGGGGCTTTCTCATAACCTGAGATCATGACCTGAGCCGAAATCAAGAGTCAGACACTCAACTGAGCTACCCAGGTGCCCCTACACTAACTTTAAAGATAACTAATTCAAAAGAACTAATCTGCCATATTTCTTTTCCTAAACACAGATTCTGAAAAGATTAGGCATACAAAATGTTTATCAGACTAGCAACATCTAGCCAAAAAATTTAGTTTGCATCTTATTTATATTCTGATTTCCACTATATAAAAATGATTGTTCCTTTAATGAAGGTAAAACAGGCATTGTTCATCTAAACCAACACTTATCATTTTACAGATTAAAACAAAAAACCAAAACCCAAAGAACTAAAGTGCATGAAATCAAGAGAGATTTGCACAATGTTACTGATTTCAGTAAAGGCTAGATTAACTGAACACTTTTAGCAAGAAGTATATTAAAAGGACTACTCACTGCAGACTTTCTAAGAATCTAAGTCCACTCACATATTCTAGTCTTACTTAAGCCTGGGATACCTCAAGTCTAGTCAAACTATCACTCTTTAAGGGTTTAAAATCCAGGTTCTTCTGTTTCACACTGGAAATCCTGAAAATCATAGATAGGGCTCTCATGTATTCAACTCCTAAATTTTCACTCATCTAAATTACCTATAACTGATGATTTATTTCTATCCAATTTGAAAATTATCCTTTAGTGGATATGCCATGACTATTAACCCTTATTCTGCAACTTTAGGGTATTTCCAAAGATTACAAAGAGCATCATAAAATGCTTTAGATTGATTTTTTTTTTTTTAGATTTTATTTATTTATTTGAGAGAGAGAGAAACAGCATGAGAGGGGAGAAGTTCAGAGGGAGAAGCAGGCTCCCCGCTGAGCCGGGAGCCTGATGTGGGACTCGATCCCAGGACTCCAGGATCATGACCTGAGCCGAAGGCAGTCGCTTAACCAAATGAGCCACCCAGGCACCCACAGATTGATTTTTATTTAATACTTTAATAAATATGCCATGAATCCTTTGAAGAAAGGGGAAGGTGTGATAAAAGTAAAAGTCTGGTAGTAACAGGACTCAATATCCAAAACAGAAATTAAAAGTCAGTGAAAAATACTGTATACATAGTATTTATTACCCATAAAATGCATCTTAATGGAAGCTACAACACATCTTCCACAAAAAAAAAAAGAAAGAAAAGAAAAACCAGCAACAGAATTTGCTTGGTTATACTCTATTAATAATCAGTAAACGTTTTTAACATTCTGGTTTAAAGAAGGTAGTCAATTCTTTGCCTCTTATCCATAAACTATCGATATTATTTGATTAAAGAACATCAAACCCAATGTACCTACTTCTCCTTATCTGGACACTCTCAGACTCATAATAAAGATGAATCTAATCTAGGCTTAAAGACCCCCAAGAACACCTTCCTAATTAGAACCATGGTCTGGGTGATGAATCAGAAGTCAATTTCTAAGGTTAGAAGCTCTCAGACTTCGCCGTATCAGAACTACTCGGGGAAGGGGGTAGTTGAGACACTGATTGTTGGGCCCCAAACCCAAAGATCCCCCACCAAAGATCCAGTAAATCTGGGGTGGGACCCTAGAATTTGTATTTCTAATAAAGTCCTGGTGATGCTGATGTTCTTGATCCAGGGACCACACATTCAGAACCACTGTTCCAGGTAGTATTTGAAAAGAGTATTTTTTAGCTATAGAAACTAATTTTCTATTTCCAGCCACCACGCTATTGCTAAAAAAAGCTCAAGGTCTGATATCTCTGTTATCTCAAAAACAGGCTCTGAGCATGCCACAGAGAGGTGTGTGTGCGTGCGCACGCGCGCGCACACACACACACACACACACACACACACACATTCTGTATTCTAGAGAACACCATAAACTCTGCCAAATCATTTTCATGGCCCTCGGCTATCATGGCTACTGCCTATTACATAACTGCAATAAAGACAAAGTGTTTGCAAAGCAAAAGTGTTTGCTTTAATAGAATACACACATCCTTCTACTGTTTATTTGCTTCACTTTGAATCCCCCGAATAGTTCACAGTGAGTGACACATACAGTTGGGAGTTGAGAGTGGGGTCTCTGAGTGGGACAAGGTCTCCCAGCTGTGACAGGAAGGCATGTCTGAGCATGTCATGAGTGCTCATCCAGGTCGAGGCAGGTACTAGGGTGTCGGCATGAAAGATCAACCAGGAAACTCCCTGGAAGAGAGTGCAGCATGGGGAGAGATCCAAAAGTGTGTGAACTGATAAAAGGATGGTAAGATGTCAGTACAAGAGGAGGGAGCGTAGGACACAGGATGAGCTGGCTGGTGACAAGAGAGTAAGTTCAAGGGTGGTGGGCGGTGGGGAGGGAGCGGCAGGACAGTCACCCAGACTGGTTCCAGGTTCTTCCTCCCTTTCTGATGGAACAGCAGTACCATTCACATCAACAAGTAATTACTGAGCACCAACTATATTCCAAGGACTCTGCTAGGAGCAAATACAAGAGCCACTGAGCTGGGGAAAGGAGTGAGCAACAACAAAAAATGATTAAAACAACAAAGGCCATTAATGGGCATTTATGAATCGCCCCCACTTTGCTCAGCGGAGTGAGGAGGATGGCACTTTCCCATTTCGGCAAGGTGAATGCTAGAGCAGGACGCTGAGATACGGGACAGGGCGCTGAGCATCAGAAAATGAGCAGGAAGACGCCAGAGCAGCCAGAACAATAATCAACATTAATAATCAATACTACCCCAACTGTGGGCACAACTGGCACGAGCACCACCAAGCACCGCAAGCCCAGCACCCAACTGCCATTAAGCACCGAGTCTGTGCCAGCACACGGGAGATACACGCAGTATCTCCCTGGATCCCCAGTGCAAGCTTACGAAGTTGGGACATTTTTTTCAGATGAGAAAGTGAGAGAACTCAAGCCGCTTGCCCAAGGTGAAACAGTAAGCAGGGGAGCTGGGAGGGGATGCAGGCTGCTTGCTCCAGAATCCAGCTCTCCCCGAGAGCGCGCTGCAGTCTTGCTGCTGCATGCTACCGGCTGACCACCAACAGAGCTGGCTGGAAGGAACGTCTAGGGGCAGGAGTTCCTAACATTCTGCCAAGCTGGAAAACATTTTGTACCGAGACTTCTATTATGACCTAATCTTTATCTTTGCTGCTGTAGTGTCTGGAGGATGATCAAGACGCCTGGGCTGAGTGTCTACCTTTGGGGAAGGCCACGCCTTGAGATCTTATCTTCTCAACACCCCCAAATAACTAGCTGTATACCTCGGACAAGTCACTTTAACACACTGAACCTCAATTTTTGTTATCTCCAAAATAAAGGGATTAGGTTCGATCGGTGGTTTTCAAACTGCATACTCTACAGAGCCTTACTTCTGCATTAACTATCTCGGGGAAACTGCAGGCTACCATTTACCCCTTCGGCTGTTTTATATATTGGGCTTCCATGTTAGAATTTGGGGGGAGGGGGGCAGGGTTCTGTAATATAAAAAAAAAGTTTAAGGGGCACCTGGATGGCTCAGTTGGTTAAGCGTCTGAGTCTTGGTTTTCGGCTCAGGTCATGATCTCAGGGTTGTGGGATTGAGCCCTGAGTCGGGCTCTGCACTCAGTAGCAAGTCTGCTTGAGATTTTCTCTCCTTCTGCCCCTTACCTCCCTACCAGTTCGCATGCTGTCTAAAATAAATTTAAAAATCCTTAAAAATAAATACAAGTTTTAAAGCTATTGAACTACATGATCCCTTTCAGTTAGCATATTCTGAATCTCAGAACAATTCAAACTCACTTCTCATCACTCATTTTAACTACAGCCTGGTCCATCCTAAGTAAACACAGCTTGACTACCTAAAGATACAGGAGGAATAGGGAATAAAGCCCTAATCTCTATTAACAGGTTTTCTCTGTCAGAGGATAAAGGGTAAAAAGCTCAGTTTTGGGTATGTGAAATCACTCTTGATCACCACCGGGCTGAAATTTTCCGGTACATGTTACCAGCTTCTAACGAACCTACCTGCTGGGAAAAACATAGGGGCATATGTACATGTATACTTGTGCATGTGAGTCTAGGGCAAGGAAACTAAGGCTCTCCGGGTTACAACACCACCCAAGCATTTAGAAGCTGGTGGTGAGGTTTCCTGTCCCGGGATGGCCTTCGTTTCTGAATACAATGTTCTGCAGGAGTGGAGAAAGGGAAAGAATTCAGTTTCCAGAGTCTTTTTCACCCCTGACTCCAATAAAGACAACAGTTGTGGCGGAACCTTCTGCCCTCTGAAGTTCTACCTCTCAGATCTTCAACACATCCCGTACCTTTGCTACAAAAGGCCAACTCAGTCCTGAGGTTAATGCTTAGTTAAGACATACCTCCCTACTCCTGGGCCACTGGGAAGCTTAGGAAAGACACAGAAGCAGCTCCTCAGAAGGTTCCAGTATGGGGAGTAAA